GCCGGCTCCAGCAGGAAGCCACCCCGGTAGTCTGCAACGAGAGGGGCTCAGGGATCCCCCAGGACCCCACAGCCCTGCTCCCTGGGACCCCTGCCACCCAGGGTTTTCCCCCAGAACCTCAGAGCCCTGCCCCCTGGGACCTCTGCCACCCAAGGATCCTCCTGGACCTCACAGCCCTGCTCCCCAGGACCCTCGCTACCCAGGTATCCCCGGGGACCCCAAAGCCTGGGGAGCCCTTCCACCCAGGGACCCCCTCATCACCAATGGCCCCAGCTCCTCATCCTCCATGAACACCCAACTCCTCCTCTAGGGCCCCAGACACTCCAGCTCTCTCCAGGGACTCCAGATCCTCCTCCCCAAGCCCCCCCAGCACCCAGGGTCCACAGATCTTGCCACCCCAGGACCACCCAGGGACACCAGACCTCCCCTCCCTTGGGACCCTCTGCACCTAGGCATCCTAGCTCACCCTTCCTTGACTCCCACCTCCCTTTACCCCCAAATTGCCCCTGTCCCTGCTCACCCCCACCCATTCCTGGTGTGCCCTGGCACAGGGAAGCCCAGGGGCCAGGCAGATCTCATAGGGTGGTACTCACCAGGCACTGGTGTGATGAGGTGTCTCTTGGGGGGGACATCATGGTGGGCTGGGCGGAGGGCAGGCGAGCGCACTGTGGGCAGGGAGAGCCGCCGGTGACCCCCAGGGTTGTGCCCACCCTCACCTGTTGCCCGCCTCGGCCAAGGTCTCCAGGAAATTGGGCTCTACCTGAGCGGCTCTTCAGGGCATCAAAGGCTTCCAGCTCCAGGGGCATCACCATGCTGTCAAACCGGCCCAGGTCTGTGGTGGCCACCACGCTCCTGTGGGGGCAAAGAGGGAAGGACAGGTGGTGACCACCCCTGGGATGAAGCATGACTGGAGCTGAAGAGCATGTGCAAGGGTGGGCAGTACTGGGTTACTCCCGGAGCATCACCCACCTCACATCCCGCAGCAGCAGGACCTTCTCGGGACGGTCCAGGATGGCCAGCAGTGGTCGCACCAAATCCTCCACACTGCCTTCATGCAGGTACTGCAGACACAAGAATGGTGTCAGCAGATGGGTGCCTACCCCCTTGTGCCTCAGTTTACCTCCCCTGAGCTTAATGTGGGCATGTAGCTCTGGTCACAGTGCCCACCCCAGGATGCAGGAGCTGCTGGTGCTGCCCTGTCCGCACCCTGCCCATACCCTGTCTGCAGTGCCGTACCCGGGAGCAGTGTCGGAGCACGGCCGTCACCTCATCAGGGCTGAGGAGCCGCGCAGCGGTGTCCTGGATGTGCGGGAGCCGGGCCTCGGGGTCGCTGCCATTGGACTGCAGAGTGGCGATGCCCCCAGGCCCCAGGATACTGGCACGCCGGCTTTTCTCTGAGGGGAGCACAGCACGGAGGGATGGCCAGCAGGGCAGGGACCACCCTGGGCACCCCACAAACTCTCCCATGCTCCCCCATCCCACCAGCTCACTCCATGCTAGAGTCAGACAGACACTCATTGTGGGGCCAGGCACATGCAGAGCCTACCCCAGAGCTCCCCCCCAGACACATGCGCACCCCCCGTTACCCCGCTTCAGGCTCCGGATGACAAACTTCTGCACAGCGCCTACTGCAAGGGAGACAGAGAGGGGTGAGGGCCCACAGGGGCCAGTGGCATCGCTGCCCATCGCCGTAACTGCATGCCTGGGGACCCCCTACCCATGACCTTCCCATGCCAGGGGTGCCAAACAGGGCTGTGGTGCAAAAGGGTGACTGGTCCCAAGTCAGGTCTCTTCCCTACCCCGTCCCCCAGCCCGATACCTCTGTCCCCATCGGGGCGCCCTGGGGACTTGGCGTGTGCCCAGCGGTCGGAGGCAGGGGGCTCCTGGCTGAGGGGAGCCCAGCTCTGGCTGGTGGCACGGCCCCCCTTGAAGAAGAGGTTGACGAGGGTCTTGGAGCGATGCAGCCCTGGGGGGGGCCCCCGTGCCTCTTGGCCCTCTGGCTTCTCCTTCTTCCGCTTCTCTTCTGGGGACAGAGAGGGGGACATGAGGGAGCCAGAGGATGCCATTCCAAATGGTGTATGAGGGCTCGAAAGGTGCCTGGGCTGGGAACCTGGTGGGGCAAAGGGGACTACTGGGAGGCAGTGACTGAAAAAGAGACCTGCTGTGGGGTGCATGGGGGCTCCAGGGTCTGTGGGGATGAGTTTTGGGGTGTTTCGGGGGTTTTTTTGATGTCCAGGGCTGGTGGCCAGGTGTCCATATGGGATGGGGGCTATAGGGTGTTGGGGTAGGGGCCAGGGACTCGGCTATGGGATGCCCAGGAGTAAGGGCCAGGTATCCATATGAATATATAGGGTACCGGAGTGGGGGGACAGGCTCCACGTGGGTCAGAAGCTGAGCTGTGAGACATCCAGGACTGGGGGTGCAGGGTTGGACGGGGACCTCAGACAGGGATGAGTCCCACACGTGAAGCCATGCCCTGGAGCC